CGGGATAGCCGGCAGTGGGTGCACGTGCAGCAAAGCCTGGCACCTGGGCGAGCGATCCCTGGAACCCTGGCACAACCCCTGCGGAGCACATGCCGCTCTCCGGCTGCGGCGAGGGCATTTTCCGGGGCGGAGAAGGGTGCGGGGGCGGCGTCGGAAAAGGGGGTTTGTGCGGGGGGCACCGGCAGCGATCAGCGCTCCGGCCGTTTCCCCCTCGCGTTGCACACACCTTGCCGGGCAGCGCGGGCGGCGGCGGCGGCGGCGGCGTTGCAGGTCGTGGCCGGAACTGGCGTTTTATCTTGAAACTACCCCAAGTTTACCCGCGTTGTCTGCGGCAACGGATTAACACGGCGGCTCCTCTTACTGTTATGACCTCATTTTGGATCTCAGCCAGAAAGATCGCAGCAGCAGCAGCAGCAGCGGAGGGAAAATGCGAGGCTTCCCCAGCGACGGTCGCTACGGTTTTGATAATCAAGACTAACATCTTAGCAGGTCTTTGGGGACGCCTGAGGATTTTGGTGCCTGGCCTTAGGGCTGTCGCGGTTATGCCGTTGACTGTACAGTACTTGCTTATCAGATTTATATTCCACCGGGTGTATAGGAGCTCAAGGTTGCATACCCAGTGCTCCCTCCCCTTATTTTTCCCCATAACAACAACCTTGTGAGGTGGGCTGGACAAAGAAAGCGACTGGCCCAAAATTTTATATTGTTAATCGCAAGCTGATCAGAGTCTTTGGAAGTGGACCAGCAGATACACGGAAGGAAGGAAGGAAGGAAGGAAGGAAGGAAGGAAGGAAGGAAGGAAGGAAGGAAGGAAGGAAGGAAGGAAGGAAGGAAGGAAGGAAGGAAGGAAGGAAGGAAGGAGTTTGATGATGATGAAGTTGGTGGGAGTATACAATAACCTCCTGAACTTGCACGAGATGAAATCGTATTCAGCTTGAAGGTGAAGAACTGCCAGATTTTACTTAAGGAGAGCTCCAGTCCCGTGTCTTTAATAACTTATAAGAATCTGCAACTCAAAAGCTACTTCACATCACTTATTGTGTACTTTCTTTCAATCTGAATATCCATGGTGCTGTGTCCATTGGAAGCAGCGCTCTTGGACAAAGTAAATTGTGTGAATTACAGTTTCATTGAGTTTCCTGATGAGTGTGTCAGACTGGACAGCAGGATAATTTCTCTGAATTATTCTCTTGTGTTTCTTCTACATACCTATAGATGCAGAGCGTTGAGAGTGTATGAATCTATATAAACAGGGATATTGTTCCTAATCTTCCAATAAACCCAGCAGGAGAGGGGCCGAAATCAGCAATAGGACTCCCAGAATTCCCCAGAATAAACTGGAAACCTCTTGTTTCCACTACCACTGGGGTCAGTTTGCCTAACGGGTACAGAAGATATCTGTTCTGCTCCTCTTTTCTTTCCATAGTAAATAATAGCACAAATGAACTTTCAAAAGGCCTTACACCATTAGGGCAGCCCATATAGACTGGTGTTTCTCTACCGTGGCAACTTTAAGACGTGTGGACTTGAACTCTCAATAGAAGAAAAAACCCTGCCTAACCCCCAGGAAGATACACACATAATCTGACACCAAAACAAGCAGCCACTCGTTAACCCAA